GTTAATGTTAGAACGTACGTTTTTACAAACATCTCTCAAATTCGTGAGGTCCCTGTTACTGAGGAAGTTTAATATTCTTTCAATACAAAATAAATCATTAATTCCACTCAAGTAAAGGCGGAAAAATATAACGCCCTCGTCAAGCAACTCCTTTCGTACCATACCTCTCTTGAAACGACCTTTTATTACGTCTTTGTACATAGGAAATTCTCTCTCGTAATTACCCCGTCGCAAATCCCAAACAACATCTTCATTTCTCGCGTACAATGCTATTTGGTCTATGCGTTTCATTAAAATATCATGAAATGTTAGACAAGTATTTTCAATTTTTAAGTTTTTCATTCTCTTCACCTCTTCAATACATTTTCTCTCAAACTGAGATTGCACGTTTAAATTCCTGAGATGAATATTCTCCATATTTCCCTTATTCCACTTAGCTATTTGCATTTGAATCAACAGTTTCTGCGTTCTGGAAAACTTGCGATTAATACGTCTATGTTTAAAATGAGTACAGTGGACTGCTGTCCCGACTAAATTATTAACAAACTTTACGTCACAGTCATTTTCAATGAGAGCTAGAACGACTTCGAACTCATCGTTACCGGATGCAACGTCTACTGCCGAATAACCTGATTCACTTCTTGAGTTGATATCGGCGCCCGCATACACTAGAATTTCTACTACACCCACTTGACCACGATCAGCGGCACGATGTACCGCTGACCATCCATATACATCTTTGTCATTCACGTCAGCTCCATTCTCGATTAACAAGCAGCAAATTTCTTCTAACCCTAATTGCGCAGCAAAATGAAGCGGTGTCACGTCACATACAGCTTTCCAATGAACATCGGCACCCAAATCTATGAGGATTTTTACAATATCTTGGTGTTCCTCCTGAATGGCTACGTACAGCACTGTTAATCCATTGTTGTCTTCAATATCCATGTCAGCTCCTCTCTCAATTAGGAACCTGATAATTTCTTCGTGTCCTACTCGCGCAGCAAAATGAAGCGATGTCTCGCCCGTTCTAGTTTCCAAGTTGACATCGGCACCATGATGTACGAGAAGTCTCACGATATCTTCGTGTTTCTCTTGAACGGCTATGTGCAGCGCCGTTAATCCATTTTTGTCTTCAACATGCACGTTAGCTCCTCTTTCGAGTAGCAACCTGCAACTTTCTTCTGAACCTTCTAGCGCAGCGAAATGAAGTGGTGTCACGCCACATACAGATTTAAAGTTGACATCGGCACCCTGATGTACGAGAAGTTTCACGATATCTTCGTGTTTCTCTTGAACAGCTATGTGCAGCGCCGTTAATCCATTTTTGTCTTTGGCATGCATGTCAGCTCCTCTCTCAATTAGCAACCGGGAAATTTCTTCGTGTCCGACTCGTGCAGCAAAATGGAGCGGTACATCGTCAAATTCAGATTTTTCTTTAACATCGGCACCATGATGTACGAGGATTTGTACGATATCTTGGTGTCTCTCCTGAATGGCTAGGTGCAGCGTCGTTAATCCATTTGTGTCTTTGGCATGCACGTCAGCTCCTCTTTCGAGTAGTAAACTGCAAGTTTCTGTTAGACCTGCTCGCACAGCGAAATAAAGTGGTGTCTCGCCCCATATATTTTTCGACTTTACATCGGCACCATGGTCTACGAGGATTCGTACGATATCTTGGTGTACCTCCTGAATGGATAGGTGCAGTGCCGTTTCTCTATCTCCGTTTCCGACATTTACGTCAGCTCCTCCCTCAATTAGCAGCTTGCAGGTTTTTTCTAGACCCACTCGCGCCGCGCAATGAAGTACTGTCTCACCCCGTTTAGTTTCTGAATTCACATCGGAACCGTGATCTACGAGGATTTGTACGATATTTTGATGTCTCTCCTGAATGGCTAGGTGCAACGCCGTTAATCCATTTGTGTTTTTGGCATTCACGTCAGCTCCTCTCTCAATTAGCAATTTGAGAGTTTCTTCTACTCCTACTTGCGCAGCACAATGAAGCGGTGTCTCACACATTTCAGTTTTCAAGTTTATCTTGGCACACTGATCTACGAGGATTTGTACGTGTCTCTCCTGAATGGCTAAGTGCTAGCACCGAGGAACGATTAGCAAGGACTGGCAGCCTTATGCAGCAAGGATGCGATAATTTTTTCTTCGGCCGGAAAGTGGGGACGACGCGAACATGGTGGGGACTGGTACTTGACGGGGATATGCTAGGCATGGCCAACGAAGGCGCATGAGGAGAATAGTAGTGGGGATCGAAATACGGGCGAAAAAGAGGGGAAGCGAGCCGTGCGGGAAAAATTATCCCATCCCTGCTCTGAAAGAATGCAGAACTTCTCCTCTTCCCATGCTCTCCCCACTACTGTGCTCTATCCACTTACCTATGGCATTATTAGACATGTCCCCAATGGCCATGGGTAACGTATCTGGGGGAGAAAAAAAGTAGTGGAGGACAGCATGATAAGATGAGAACAGGGACCTCAGAATTTGTCCCGCACGGCTTCCTTTCCCTCTTTTCGCCCGTATTTCGATCCCCACTACTATTCTCATCATGTGCCTTAGCGAATGCGTGCCTAGCATATCCCCATCAAGTACCAGTCCCCACCATGCTCGCGTCGTCCCCACTTTCCGGTAAATATTAATAATATTTTATTCGCAAAATATAAATAGTTTCTACTATTCAATGTTATATTCTTAAAATTTGTTTGCTTATTTAAATATGTATACACCCTAATTTTCAATGGGAATATAAATATGTATATTTTACATAAACGTGGTACAAGCTGGTATTATTTTAATAATTCTTCGGACATCGATTAGTGGAAGGCTTTTCTCTACTACGCTTCTTTTTATAATCGTTATAGTGTAACGAACGCTCTGTATCAAATACTAAGTTTTCGCGGCAATCCACATATCCGTAAAAATGAATTTTTTTTAAATTTGTAATGGCTACTTAGTGGAATTTGGGATCTATAACTAATATTCACATGTACATAGAAAGGTGGCATTTTTCTGTTAATGAATTCAAGCAGGACTTGACAATTCCTAAATGTCGAAAATCCTTGTTGAACAAAATCATTGCGGGGCCAGAGGTGAGCTACGAGTAGGAAAAGTGCCTGCGGATATACTTGAAGGCGTCATAAATTAAACGACGTTGCAACAGGGCTACTTTACCCTACCCTCGGTTAATG